GAAGTTGTATTGGGAGATGGGAAACCGGATTCCCTTCTACTTAATTCACCCTAGTTCGAAATTCGGAGTGTTAAAATTTAATCTAACGGTTACAGTTATTATCACTTTTAAAAAGGTTTCTTATTTGTAATCGTTAGATTAAATTTCAAATGTCCAGATCTTGAACTAGGTGGATTTGGTGGAAAGGGATGAGAGATAGAGATGTGTATAATTAAGAGTAAATTGTAGTAATAGTCATTTAACTTTAATGAAATTAGAGTAATAATTACTCAACTAAAAATTCATTACCATTGGTCATTCAACTCATCAAAATGTGTAGCTATGGTTATTTTTGTCAATTTTGTTAGAAATTTGTTAAAATGAGTTATGTTGCAAAGACCATTACTACAATTGGAATAAGGTTAAGGGACCATTTCTCGAGTTGGATTCAAGTTGAGGGACCAATGGTAATGGATTTTTAGTTAATGGACCATTACTCCAATTAAGTTAAAGTTAATGGATCATTACTATAATTTACTCTTGTTATAATGTGAATATTGGTATGAGTCACACTTATTTATTAATAATAATATTATATTTTAATATATAAATTTATTTATTATTTACAACTGAAGGGAGAAAACTTTTTCAATCTAGAGAGTATAACTGAATACATAAACAATGCCAAGATTAAAAGTCAAAAGAAAATAAATTAGAGAGTTGTAGATTGAGAGATGAATACCTTCTAATATGCAAAACCCTAGAATTGTACAAAAGAATAAGCATTTGAGCAGATTACACTTTGTTTAAATGTTGAATTTATGAGTTTGTTTGTTCTTATGTTTTTGTTTGTAATGAATAGCTAAGATTAGAACTAACTCATAGGCTAGATGTATGACAACTATTACAGAAGATGTGTGTGTTAATTTGGTTGTACACGCGAGGCGCACACGAGTTGAGTTGTGTTTTAGGCGTGAGTGGGTTTACAACGGTTAGCTTGCTGAGTAATCGAAACCAAGAGGAGCCGTACTCTATTTTCTCTCTTCGTTCATCAACTAAATCAATTCATCATTGATTTTCATTTTTTAATTTATAAAATCAAAACCTAATTCAAATACAAAACACTAACATCTTTTGGCAGCAACACTATTGCAAAAATCAGGATGACAAGATTTTGAGTTTGAATGTTAATTTGATAATTCGTGAAAAAAAATTTGCCGTTAAATCACTAATGAGATGAAGAAAGAAACTCTAAAGTTGAAATATTTTTAGAAAGGAAACACTGTTTATTTACTAATTTTCTTAAAAAAGGAGAACACCTGTGTTTTTTTTTTTTTAATACATACCGTGGAGGGATGGTGCACGCAGAGAGAAAAATGCTCATGTGTCCGCTAAATAATTCGGAAAATAAAGGAAAGAGAGACCTAACAAGGGATTAAAAGGGTAAGTTCGTGGAAAAGCGAGATCATTTAGGGTTGGAGATAAAATCTGTTCATACACACCATGTGGATGACAGTTAGTGAGCGCAGAATCCAGAAAGGGAGCACGCAAGCTGCAACCAATAATTGTGGGATTGGAACTTGGAATTTGCCAACTTGAAGGAACTGGTCTGCTCTCTCTCCCTGCAAATTGCGGCAAATGGTTTTGTGCCATCCTTTACTGGTTAACTTGGGAGGTAAGGTTTCCTCCCCTCTCTACAAATTACGAGAGATTTTTCAATGTGATCGAAACACGAAGTAATACATCATGTATCATCATATAAATAATGAGATATACGTGTTGAAAAGTTAATAATTTAAAAAATACAATTTTTCACCATTCATTTAGAAACACATGATGTACCATCCGTGTTCTGATCACAATAAAAAATTTCTTCCGAACTACCAGTCAAAGTGCTCGAACCGTGTGCGAGAGGGTTAAAGCAGCTTTGGTAGATGAAGAATACCAAACATAAAGATTCATGTACTCATGCAGGAGCATGACAACATCTACTTTTGAATATTGATGAATCTTATTTCGATTTCAATTTCTTTTTTGTTTCTTTTTATTTAGCAACAACATGAGGCCTATGCGACTGCAAACATGTTAGATTCATTAGCCAATTCATTGTTATGTCTCCAAGACTCCAACTATATATCAAAATATTGGTATCTAGGTTTAGATTATCTTCTTGTCACCATAAGGATATTGTGCTAAGCTACCTTTTAGTCCATTGTGCTTTTGTGATCAAGATTTTGTTGATTTTTATTGTTGTATCTTATATTCTAAAATTCAATCAAAGTGAAAATTGTTAAATTACTTAACAATACATTAGATTTTTAACCGAAAGACGATTTTATTTGGTTGACCTATCATTTGGACGGCTTCAATTGTGAGATCTTTGATAGTTGAATCTTTGGTTGCATATATAACCAACTCTTCATTCATTTGGTGTATGTCATACACTGGAGCATACCAAAAGTTTTCGAAAGTCCCGATAGGCAAAAAATATTATGAAGGCAGCTAGTATTCTCGATCTCAAACCCTTAATAATAATTAGTTTGAGATATTTGAATCCTACTAATTATAAAAAGCTTCTTCATACTCACGTATTTTTACAAAAAGTTCGAAAAAAAAAGTACTTTTACAAAATAATAAAAAAGAAATTATCTTCAAGGATAAGAAAACTTGAACAAGAAGATAATGTATGGCATGTTCCTTCCCATTATCTAGTGTAAAGTGGGATAAAATGGAATAAAAAAATCATATGGCATGCAGACATAGGTGAATGGTCAACTTAGATGGTTACATTGCCTTTCACTTGGACTGTTAGGTCACGTTATTAATTAATTCATGATACGATACGAATACAAATACGATATCCAACTAACAAGTGACACAGACCAAATGGATCAACTACCTTCCACCCATACCCAATCTCTCTCCCTAATAACTGTATAGCAGCAACCATATATTAATTTGGCCCATATCGGCGGTTATGGAGTTTGGGAAAACCCTAGCTAGCTATAAGAATAATATAAACTTCCAAGAGCCAACTCCAACATGCATATCTAACTCACCAAGACCCTATATGTCAAGTAGGGTTGTATTCTATCTAGGCATATTTGTCGATTTGTTCTTAAATTTGTGTAGAGTTGTCAATTTCTTCCCTGAACTTTAATTTTAGTCAATTACCTCTTCTGAACTTTTATAATTAGCTAATTTCTCCTTGAACTTTACTTTTAGTTGATTATCCCCCCCCAAAACTTTCATAAATAGCCAATTTTTCGCCTGACGCTAGATTTACAAAATTCATCCAATTTTCCATCCATTTTGATCACGGAGACAACACATGAAAACTATATGAAGCAAAAAAAGAATGGGGAATTGGATGGATGAAAATTTTAAAATCTAACGCTGGCGGAATTGGCTATTTAATAAATTTTAGGGGGTAATCAGCTAAAGTTAAAGTTCAGGGTGGAAATTGGATAATTATAAGAGTTAAGATGAGTAAAGATCTAAAATTAAAGCTTGGAGGGGAATTTTTTTATTTTTTTGTCAAACGATAAATTTTGTTATATTAGTCACCGACATGGTTTGAACCCACGTCGTCATGTAAGGGATCAACACATTTCCACCATTGTGGTAAAAGGCCACTTGCCAAAATGAAAAATTAGCAACTCTATACAAGTTCAATTGGCAAACCGACAACTACCTCTTGTATCTAATGAAACAAGAGAGAACATTCTTGAGTTGACTTTCATATATTTTGTTCAAAGTTCCGTATTTACATAAATATGAATATAGAAAAGTATTATTGGTACTTTAAAGAAAATAAAACGACACAAGACGTGGATAGCGATTGTGATCATGAAAACATGTCCATTTTCACGAAGGAAGTCTCGAGGAAGGCTCCCTCTGTGCGGCAATGCAACACAGACGATAAGAACTCTTGTACTTGACACTCGGACTCACACCTCTTGTGAGTGAGCCAGCGCCCACATAAAATGACACGCCCTCCGACAGGATAGAGGTGGGAGCCTTTGCATTTGGGTTTCACCGTCCTAACCTCAGCTTGGACTTACCTACACTCTAGGAATGTCGTGTGGTATCCCATAATAATAATATTAATTAGAGAACAAATTTCGTACACTTACTTTTTCACTTGTTGTACATTACTCTGTTTTTAGTCGTTAAATTGAGCAAATTAACTAATAAATGTGTACAAAAGGTGAACAAGTTATATTCTTCTTTAATAGTTCGTAATACTGATTGGTACGAAAAATAAATTACTAAGATTGAAAAAAAAAAATCTAATAGTTGTGGAAAATCAAATCTAATGAAAATCAACTTAACAATTAAAACACTAAAAACATTGAATGCTATGTAAATTTCCACTAAATTTGCTCTCATTTTAACTTTGCCACCTAAATTTGTAAATGACCTCATTGGTCCTAAGGCATGCGGCACCCCCAAGAGGTGTGGGGAAGTGTCGCCTCGGCTGCCCTCATCCACGACCTTTTCCTTTAATATTAGCCTATTTATCCAGAAAAATGGACCCCAAACCGACGGTTTTGCTCACCTTGTCGTCTTTGGGCCGTTCTTCTAGATTCCCGCTCCCACAGTTGCTTCCATCAGAGTTTACCGTTAACCATATATTCAGTGGAAACTCTGGAATCTAATGATCGGCTCGCTGGCGCCAAGATGCTCCTTCAAATTTGAAATTTCCGCATCCTCACTTTCTCCATTCCCACGCCTTCGTTTCGTATCTTTTATTTTTTATTTATTTTTATTTATTCAATTTAAATGTCATAAATAAACAAGAGCATGCCGCATTAACGGAGTGTGCGAAGGTCATTTTTTCAGGTTCCAAATTGCATTGGCCCGAAATCTGACTTTTTCTCCACAAATTTATAATGGGCAGCAAGGGCAATTGCTCGGTTAGCTGTGGCTTCAACTAAAATTACGAAAGGCAGTGTTCGGGAAATGAATGGTGAAGTTGTTATTATATTTTGTATCGTTTCATTTCTACGCAATCCAACTGAACACAACTCTATGATTTCTATTTAGAAGAATATGTAACATTTTGGAGCATATAAAATACAACTTCCTGCAAGGCACAAGATGCAGCAGACTCAATTGGTCGCGACGACGACCTACATTTTGCATGAGGCTAGAAAATCAAGCACCCACATCCCAAAAAATAAAAATAAAAATAAAAAAAGAAAAAATTTGTGAAACTAAGGTAAGAATCAAACTCGAATGCACAATCAACTAGCCCCCGTAATAAAGGTACCTCACTGTACGTACCTGCTGACAGCATATGCTTCTCGGCCTCTTCAACTAAGTTTTCGATGCATCTTCATATAAATTTTCCCAATGCTGAAGACTGAAGCCTCAAATTCACACAGCAGTATATATTTTAAGCGTTGATGGCAAGTGTTTCAGTCCTGTTCAGTATTCCTTGCAGAAGCCTGCATGTCAATCGTTTTTGTCTCGTGCTTCCTCTTGCTTCAAGAACTTCTCTTCGTTCTGGGTGCATGGATTTTTATAGGACGCTTCACTGTGTGCTCTTCAACTGCAGTTTCTGTTTTTCCATTAGATGGGAGTTCAGGTGGAGCATCAGGCCATGGTGTACGTTTTGATCGTACAGTGATTTCCAAAGGTGGGTTGATAGTCCATCTGTACAAGAAAAATTCAAACGAATGATCAAACAGAGAGCAGAGGAATCATGCTAACGTGATAAAAGCTGAGTGCATGGAGAATCAAATGTAACTATACACTAAATATGATCGCTGATGTCTCACACAAAACAAATAATATGACAGACTCATGGATCAAATATATTATTCGTTTCTTGTGAGGTAAAATTTCACTATTAACTATCAGATCACAAAGAAATGACAAACAATGTCCCATGGGAGCATAAAAACACAAACACAAAATACTACGTGTGGTTTGTACAAGTTCATAAAGGCAGGTCAAGTTTCCAATCAGCTATGCACATAAACCAGAAATTTCCCCTTCAAAATGCTACAGAACTTAATTGAATCAGGATAAAGTAATAAATGAGAAGGAACCGGAATATTATATTCCCATTAAAATGTTAATTAATTCTCTATAATTAGAATGAGAATAAGACTGATTACCATTGCAATGTCTACTAACTCTTAAGAATAAAAAATAAACTGGCTTTGGGTACCAAAATACCTTTCTACAAAATAATTTTTCTCACATACTAACCGACAAACATTTCAAATGCCATATTTTTCTAGTTGCTACTGATAATAAAACTATCGCAACACCTAGAAGAATAAAATGATAACTATTTCATGTTTTTGTTATCTACATACATTATAGTTTAAAATGCTAGAAAATTTACTAATCAGAAAATTATTTTCTCCAAAACAATTTACATTTTCAAAATCATTTTGCAAATTAATTTCCTTCAACCGTAGCAATTGTTTTACTATACTGAAAAAACATACTAAAGGGTAGTAGTTGTGGTATTACAAAAAATTACAGGTACACTTATGGTATTACAACAAAAAGACATGTTTATTCCTAGTGATATTAATTAAAGTACCAAATCCATTCTTTACCAAAAAGAAACACAAATGATATTACCAATTTATATATAGAGCCTACAAGGTACTACTTTCTCTAGGATAGATAAAAGGCTGGAACAGGAAATAATGAGAAAGGGAATCAAGTAGGTATATATGTTAATTACATAAAGAGGTGTTAAATAGGGATCATATAAATCTTGTCCACAAAATTTGATCATTTTTTTCCCGGTCAATAGAAATTCTATCACGTGGTTATTGAGAAGTCACATCTTATTTCAACTTGGGTCAATTCAAGTCCAATACTAGCATGTCTTTTTCAGATTGTGAGATGAGAACTTGCATGCGAATGTAATGCGTTGGCTCATCAAATCCTGCTCTAAATTCTCATATCAACCAACATAAGACACTAAGCACAAATGGATACGCCATATGTGCCATGAATCTGAATCTTATAATAGACTGGATCAGTTGGGATAAATCACAAGTGTCACTAATACTTGAATTGACTTCTAGATACAATACAACTAATATCTAGGGGGAGAAGTTATTTTTAGTCAAGTCCTAATATAATGTAGCAGCATTTACACTAGCACTATACAACCACTTAGCCATTTTTTGGCTACAGGTAGTAGGAAAAGGACTAAATGATAAAGTCTCCCATTAATACATTGGATCAAGAAAAATTGTAATATTTGTGGATATTTTAGGTGGAAATGGGCACAGGATTTGGGATATAGAGACTCCACAGCACCATAGCACCAACAGTCATGAGACACACTATAAAGATCATGCTGAATGTGTTGTAAAGGAAAAGTTCCCAAAATCTAGGCACAGGACTTGAGTGTTAGACACGAGAAATATCCTAAATTGGCTGGCAAATATCTACCTAAGTCCACAAAAATTTTCTAAAATTATCATGTAGTTTTCCGGTATTGTATATGATAACATATACATCACCCACTGGGGTTCATAAGATACAAAAAAGCAAACAAGGAAGCACCCCCACACCTAGCTTGCGGATCATCAACAGGTTAAAAATGAACAACCAAACTGCGTTGAATCAATAGGAATAGTGTTGAATACAATGAGCAAAATAAGAAAGACTCACTTGGGAGGAAATTTACTATCGAAACGAGCTTCAACACGGAGCCACCAGAGCAAAACTTGGCGCCCACAATTTCCAAGTGGCTCAACCAAAGACAAGTCCTTCAACAAGAATAGAGGGCTTACTATCAGCTCATCAGCCCCACCAATACTATCTAGATCATTAACCCACTCTGGTTTATCTTCAGCTTCACTCCAAAGCAACCGTGAATTCAATACAAACCCAGCCCACTCCAGCTTCTTGGGTAGTACAGGTGCTTGATCATCAATGTAATTTGCGCTCTTTCCCACATAGGGCAAGGTGTTAAAGGTGTGCCAACCAATCAACTTATTGGATGAGTTACAAGCAGGACCTTGAATTGGCATTGACTGGTTCTCCCCTTCTTCCTTTTTCTGAACTGTGGACTCAGACGATTCATCTGTATTCTCTGAATGAGCAAGTATTCCCACCGAAACAGCACCAAACCATTTCACATTCTGCAACTCATCGAAAAGCTCCATACTGTGCATATTACTATCGTCCGCAAACATCACTATCCCGTCCAGCTTCTGCTCTCTCACAATTCTGCTCCATTGCACACAAAGTCAAACTCGTAAACTAAATGCAACCCACATTTTACAAACCAAACACATCTTCAATTGCTTTAATTCTGACAAATAATAATAACTACAGAATTATCAGTGTAATTAGAATATCCACAATCATTTGGTTAAGCTTCATTTTTCATCTTCCATGAAATTTAACCGCAATTTTCGAAGAATAACTGATTAACAGAAGTAACAAATCAAAATAAAACATTAAAAACTGAGAATTCACCTCAAAGCACGAAGCCGCATCCGAGCCTCCAGCATGTGGCGGCCATCCCAAGTATTAGGCATCCGTTGATCAAACCCCTCGTGGATGATCCGGAGCCCCGACTTGGACACAATCGATGCCGTCTCCTTGGTGACCCCGCCGGCCTCGATGACGATCCAGACGACGTCGTACGGCACCAGCATCAGCGAGTGCATAACGCCAGTCAAATGCAGCGCCTGGAAGGTCCGAGCGTAGGTGGGCGTGACAGCGATGACCGTTTTGGGGTTGCTGACTCCAAACTGTCTCCTCTGCTCCCTCTGAACCGTCTCAATTATGCGGTGCGCCTTCATGGTCTCGGTCGGGTTCGGGTGCGGCCACGGCCGGATTCGGATCCCATGCCGCCCGACGACGACCCTGCTGCTGGAGCTGGCGGTGGTGGCGTTCCTGTTGAGATTAAACTCGAGATTCTGGACCGGGTTCACGGGGAGCTCTAGATTTCTGACGGTGAGATCAGCAACTGACCGAAACGGCGCCGGATAGAGATTGGAAGCGGAGGTGGAGAAGAGGAAGAAGAAGACGAGGCGAGAGAAGCGGAAGCCGAGGACGAGGCTGATGAGGCAGCAGAGGACATGGAGTAGGAGCCAGGACAGCGTCGCCGGCGACTTGCCGTCAGATGAGGAGTCCAAAGGCGCCGATCCCCTGAAGCTGTTGCTCCGCCGGGTGAGGTAGCTCTGGTGCAAAGCAGAGAGCTTCATAATCTCTCTCTCTCTCTCTCTCTCTCTCTCTCTCTCTGTCACACAAATCCTAGAGAGAGAAAGCAGAGGTCAAGAGTTGGAGAGGTGGGTTCGTTTGTTGTGTTGGTCTTTGGAGCACTATATCCCTTGAGTTCCTTTGACGTTAGTTGAGCTTCTGTAGAGAGAGAAAGAAAGGAGAGAGAGAGAGAGAGAGAGAGAGAGAGAGGTTGCGGATGGTGGGGATGATTAAGACGTAATTAAAATGTGATTTGTTAATTTTAATCAGAGATTTCTTCGAATTTAAGAATGAAATTTCGAAGTTGTTAGAATTGGTTGGCTTTTCAGTTTTATTCTCAGCATTTCTTTGTCTACTTTCAAACAGAGGAGAGAGAAAGGGGGGGAGAACCAGAGAGAGAGAGAGAGAGAGAGATAGGGAGGCCCGTAAACTGCGGGCCCAGATGGGCTTTGTGTGATTTCGGACGGAAGGCTTTGGTTTTAATGCACGCAACGATTTTCTATTTTAATTTTTCAAATTTTTCAAATTAATTAAATTAATAGTTTATTTATTTATTTTTAAACAAACGATATTATTTTTATCAAGGGATATGAGAGTGGACTAAGTCTCATAATAGGCTAGCAATAGTTGGGTTCAAATTCGCACTTGACAATAATCGAACCTAAGTATAAATAAAAGAAAAATATTATTAGACCATTGTAGACATCGAAATTTCAGTAAAACAAATGTTCACCAATGCATTAAAGTTTTGACGTGTCAAGGCATACATGGCATACGCCACGTGTTGTACAAATTGTACACATGGTGTGTGACTCAACAAAATAGGAAGAAATACCCTTGAAGGATTAAACAAGTTTTTCTTCTCATTTTGGGCAATGACAAAGCATACACATTTCAAGTTTAAAATGGTGTTAAGTGGGAAATTAGGCCATAAGTTACACCACTTCAATTTCAATATTGCATTAAGTGGGAAAATTAGGCAATGGTGCTTGGAAAGGAAAAAAATATTTTGTGGTGGTGATTCATTCTCAAAGCCTATAAATAGGCTTCTCCATCAAGGTATCAAGCATCAAGGAATTCACAAATACATTTCTCTACCCCAAAATGGAAGAGAATACTCCCCACACACATCCAAATCCTTGAAGCCTTAAAGTTCTAAAGCTCTCAAGAAAATCCCGAAGGGTCAAGAAAGCACTCTTCGTTCTTCGTCAAATCCTCCTTCAAGATCAAGCCCCAAGGGCCCTTGAAGAACTTCCACCATTATTCAAGATCAAGCCCCGACGACCCTTGAAGAAAGTGTTAATCCGTTCATCCTAAGCTCAAGCCCCAACGGCCCTTTGGATCAACGACCTCAACAAACCTATACATCCAATCGTTCTTCAAGATTAAGCCCAAAAGCCCTTGAAGATCCGCTCATCCATCAACCTTCAAGATTAAGCCCAAAAGCCCTTGAAGAAATCCACACAACCATTATTCAAGATCAAGCCCCGACGGCCCTTGAAGAAAGTGTTCATTGTTCATCATCCGTTCATCCTAAGATCAAGCCCCAACGGCCCTTTGGATCAACAACCTCAACAAATCCACACATCCAATCGTTCTTCAAGATTAAGCCCAAAAGCCCTTGAAGATCCGCTAATCCATCAACCTTCAAGATCAAGCCCAAAAACCCTTGAAGAAATCCACACAACCATTATTCAAGATCAAGCCCCAACGGCCCTTGAAGAAAGCGTTCATCATTCATCATCCGTTCATCCTAAGATCAAGCCCCAACGGCCCTTTGGATCAACGACCTTAACAAACCCATACACCCATTCTTCAAGATCAAGCCCAACGCCCCTTGAAGATCCATTCATCAACTGTTCATCCTTAGATCAAGCCCCGACGGCCCCTTAGATCAATAAACAAATCCACACATCTATTCTTCAAGATCAAGCCTAAAAGCCCTTGAAGAAAACCAACTGTTCATTCAAGATCAAGCCTCGACGGCCCTTGAAGAAAACCAACTGTTCTTCAAGATCAAGCCCAAAAGCCCTTGAAGATCCGCTCATCCATCAACATTCAAGATCAAGCCCCGAAGGCCCTTGAAGAAACTTCCATCAACCTTCAAGATCAAAGCCACAAAGGCCCTTGAATAAACTTACAACTGTTCATCCAAGATCAAGCCTCGACGGCCCTTGGATCAACAAATCTACATCTTACGAAGATAGAATCAGAGGACCAAATTCGAGAGAGATCGTAACCCCAAAATCATAAACACAAAATATTATTTTGTACACGTTATTCTCGTGTTTCTTGTTTCAAGGAACTTTCGTGTTCACAAATTTGGCACGCCCGGTGGGACATCTCTACCTCTCATCTCTATCCTCAAATCATCGAAAAACGCAAATGGCATCAAGAAAGGATCAAGCTGTTCCTGCAATCAAAGCAAAGAACAAGAACATCATCGCCGCAAGTGGTGATATTTCGGGCACCATAACCCGAAGTAAGGCAAGAGCTCTTTTTGCCGCGGCTTCCGCCCCTGCATTAACTCTGTCAAAGGAACAAGAGCACCTGAGGCATGAGCCTGTGATCACCCTAGCCTCGCTAAGGGCATCAAGAGGGGAAAGCCTGAGGAAATACTCAGAGTCCCTACTCTCCGACGCTGATTCGAGCGGCAATACAACCATGCAAGTCATGACCACTGGAGTAACTTCAATCGAGGAGCAGCTGGCTCAGATGAATGAAGCAATCGCAAAGCTCACACGGACTGCAGAGGAGAAAAACTTGCAAACCGCCGGACTCATCAACCGTCTGGAGGCACAGCATGGCGTCAAAATGAAACCAAGCTCTCTTCCAACTAAGAAGACCGAAGAAGGCTTTAACCCAAATGCCTACGAACTCATGTCAAAGGCTAGGCATGACTTTGCTTCCTCTTCAAATCTTGGAAAGAAGGTTTCAAACACCGTCAATGACAAAGAACGTAACCTCACCAAAACTCAAAAGAAGTTGAAGGAGCATGGTTACGGAGTTGACAACAACAAAGCCGGACTTGGCTTCACACCAAATGCACCTGTGAAGATTTCAAGCAAAGTGAAGAAAGCTAGCGCTCAACACATCAGCGTGAGCATTGAACAAGACCAAAAAGAGCCTAAACCTGCCTCTCGGACGTCGGTCTTCGATAGGATGAGCCATTCAAGCTCCAGAATTTCAGCGCTTAATCGCATTGGTAGTCAAGGCCGAACCTCTGTCTTCAAGAGGCTTAGCGCGCCAACATCCCAAAGCTCTGTTTTTGAAAGGTTGTTAAAGCCTAAGAAACAAAGCAACACAGCTATCTCTCCTCTGCGACGATCAGCTTCGGAAAGATTTGAAGATAATGAGAAGCCTTTTGGAAAGAGGAAGACAACACCAAAGGAAGAAAAGTTCGATGGGTTAGCAGAAAAAGGCGACGTTCGAAGCTTGATTCCTTCAAGGATGAAGCGCCAAGCAATCCTAGAGGTCGACACAAAAGGACCACTGAAGGTAAGGAGGCGCATCATCGTCCACACTGGCAAATCTTCATGCCAACAAACCCAAGAGGACGGCACTGAAGATGAAATCCCTAAGAAAGATGTCACTTCTGGCTCTTTCGACTCAAAGTCTTCACCTCGACTGTTGGGGGCATGCTCCAAGTTAAGTGAAATTGAAGGATGGACTCATGTCGCTTCGAAGAAACTGCACGAGAAACATATGTCTTCTCCACAAGTGCACCAATCAGAAAGGGGGGAAAACAGCTTTCGCCAACCTCCAAAGCAATGTGAAAATGTTGAAGATAAGAAAATTTCAACACAAAGATCGTTCATGCGGGATCTTTTCTTCCTCGAAGACTTATTCAATTTCTCGACCAAGGCTCCTTGCTATGAAGATTGTGAGGAATGCATTTCGAAGATCGCTTCGAAGAAATTGGACAAGCAGCAACCATCTTGTCCACAAGTTTATCAGTCGAAAAGGGGGCAAAACAGCTCTTGTCAACCTCCAGAACAATGTGAAAGTGTTGGAGATAATGAAATTTCGACACAAAGATCGTCCATCCCCATCACAATGTGCGACCTCTTCCCAGAAGACTTCTTTAATTACTCGGTCAAGGCTCCTTCCTATGAAGATTGCGAGGAACGCCTCTCCCAGACCGCTTGACAAATCCACAACAACAACCAAACGCTCCTGGTCCGCATGAGCATAAAAGGCGACAACCAAAGCTCCTCGTTCGCACGAGCCTAAAAGGCGACAACCAAAGCTCCTCGTTCGCACGAGCCTAAAAGGTGACAACCAAACTCTCCTTGCCTGCACGAGCTGAAACTGCAAACGGCACCAAACGCTCCTTGCATGCACGAGCTGAAACTACAAACGGCACTAAATGCTCATTGCCTGCACGAGCTGAAACTGCAAACAGCACCAAACGCTCCTTGCCGATCATCCAATCCCAGCTGATTGGAAAATCTCAGACGACTTGCCTGACGAGGAGGTGTTCTACATCGACATCTTCCCAACATGGACGATGTTCTTCGACGGATCCGCACGAGCAGACGGAGCGGGGGCATGAGTAGTATTCATGTCGCCACAAAGGCAAATACTACCTTACTCATTCCAACTGAATGAGCTATGCTCCAACAATGTTGCTGAGTACCAAGCATTGATCATCGGGCTCCAAATGGCGATCAACATGGAAATCACAGCTCTTGAGGTATATGGCGATTCCAAGCTCATAATCAATCAACTCTGAACTAAATATGAGGTGAGGAAAGATGATCTCGTCCCATACTTCCGGCTAGCGACCCAACTGCTACAAAAGTTCGAAGCTGTGACACTGGAACATGTGCCAAGAAAGGAAAATCAAATGGCAGACGCTCTCGCTAATCTAGCCTCGAGTATGACACTAGGAAAAGATGAAGTTGCAGACGTGCCAGTTTTCCAAAGATGGGTGATTCCGCTCGTTAATGAAATGTCACTAGATGATACAAATGTCATCTCAGTACTTCCAGTCGATGCTGAAGAGTGAAGACAGCCGCTGATCGACTACTTAGAGCACAGAAAGCTTCCAG